TAAGAGTTAAGTTTTCGAAACACATCGTTAAAAACGATGATGCTAAACAGACTTTTAAATTATACCAAATCGAAATCAAATACAAATAAACATGGATTGAAAACCAAAATCGACATGCAAAATTGCCTTTAGCAATGGGTTAGTTGTCTACAAAGGCAATATCAATGTATACATAATATATAAAACAAAGTATTATCGAAAAATTAAAAGATTCAAATATAATGTGTAAAATTAAAATACGAAAGACCCAATGAAATGACAAAAGAATTGGCAAATGGTTGAATGATTTTTTGTGAGTTTCGAAAACGTGCTTCTTATGAGCGGTTCGCATAAATACAATACTTAGTAAATAACCTTAAATTCGTTATATTGTCCAAAGCTTTAATAAAGTTTATCATAACCAGAAATGTGTACATATGCAAATACATGTATATGTGTATACATACAAATACTCGTATATGATAATCGGAAAGTTTTAAAAGCTGGCTAATTATTTAATATCCGGTTGTGCCTGTTGCGCCTCTTTATTGAAAGTCAGCTTCAAGTTTTTGGTGCGCCTTATTTGTTTCATTCTCTGCCAAATTTGGGAATTAAGTAATGTTTCAAAGCAAAACCATACTGCTGGCGCTTTAAATTCTAAACTATACTAATTGAAAGCAATTACATAGATGGGCAAGACGAATTCCAAACATGGGCTAGGCAGATGAAAAGCTAATTATTTCTGATATTTTTTATATACATTTTATTTATAATTTATTTTATTTAATTTTTTGTATTTTGATTTGATTTAGTTTATTAAATTTTAATTAATTATATGTATTTTTATTTTGTTTTATTCAGCTTATTAAAATCTGAATAAGACGGATGTACTTATTTATAATTATATACTCTTTCTTAGCTTAATAAGGCCTTACATTTACTTAAATTTAAGCGGAAGTTGCTCCTGGTCATTGCCAAATATTTAAAAAATGAAAAGATTGGTCATAAATAACGTATTAATGGATTTCTCCATGAGGTTCGTTTATGTTTTAATTTATTTCTTCTTCAAAATGCCAGTGACTTAACTCCCACGAGGAAGGAAATCTGATGTGAGCTAATTAATAATAGACGAAAATATAAACAACCATAGAAAAATATTTTTTACATTCACTAACCATAATGCCAACATGCAGGTACATATTACGTAGAAGACAAATAAATATTGGTTGCGCATTCGCAGTGAAGTGACTTTGTTGCAGGTGTTAATGGCGTTCGGCTTTGTCTGGCGTGTTCGTATTCGGTTGCTCATTAAATATTTGGGCTACGCATTCGCGAAAAGCGCGGTAAACAAACACAAACAAAATATTTTATTAAAAGTAAAAATGACCAAAAACTATTTTCGTTTGTATTTCAATTTTTTGTGTCTTTATTTATTTGTTTTATTTCTACTTAACGGTCATTATGTTTGCACGTACAAACAGTGAAATGTGATGTAAGAAAGTGAAATGTAAACCGGCAATAACAAAAACAAGAAAGTGACATAAATTATACTTTTCGATTAGAAAAAAAAGTTATGAAAGTTTTAACAAATTTTTAAAAATAATTAATATTTTCAGCACTGTTAACATGTAAAATTTTAAAAGTAATACACACACAAAAAAAAAAAAAAAAAAAAAAAAAATAAAATACAATAAATTAAACCTAAGCGACCCAGGTATGACAACTAATAATTTACTNAACACAAAAAAAAAAAAAAAAAAAAAACAAAAACAGAAATAATAAACCTAAGCGACCCAGGTATGACAACTAATAATTTACTTTCTCCTGCATGGCGAACTCCCATAAACACAAAACCTATAGAAATATTGGCGAAAAAGTGAAGTGTTGAGACGTGATTTTGAATTTGTGATTAAAATAAATAGTTTTTCAATCAAAGTGTGACACTTTCTTTCGCTGGTTAGGTGTCGTGGCGGTGTGGAGGAGTAATGCAAGAAAATGACAAATTCTTCTGCGCATATAAACGCTATAAAATCTGCCCAAAGATGGAGATACCAACAACAAAGTATCTAGCAGATTATCTGTATGTCGTGCATGAGGATGTGCCATTCCGTTATTATCGCAAAGTAAGTTGTTTCTTCACATGTATGTGTGTCAGTGTAGGCAGTGAGTTCGATGCCTTTCTATTATCATATGTTGAATCAAAGATAACTTTTTTATAATTTTTATTGTTTATTAAAGGTCTTCTTTTCTTTGAAGATGAATGACTTTATTGGTCATTTGTTATCCTCCCAAAGTCTTTCTACAAAGAGTGTTTGCATAAAATAGTTAAATCGTTCTGAAATATAACAAAAGTGCTCTTCAAATGTCAAACATCAAACATAAGCAGGAAGATAAAGCCTTCTTTCTGCTAATTTTTTCTATAATTTCCATTTTATTATTTATTTACACAACTTCGAGTATATTTTTGTTCATTTGTAATTATCAATGCTACATTATGTTAAGCGCTATTGAATTACCCTCGTCGGTTAATTTCATTTCAAGTCATTGACAGCTCGATAGTCATTGCTGTCTTTCGCTTAGTATGAGGTAAAGAGCTATTGTAGTTGCCAGGCATGGGAAGAAAAATGAAAAATAAGTAATGAGAAAATGAGGGGGAGGGAAATTTCAGAGGTACTTTTTCCATTAAATACCAAATAAAAACTTTCGTAAAATCAGCGATACCATTACAATACCGTTGCTATACTGAAAATAATTGAACTTCAATGCCTCAAAGAGTAAACACTGAATTAATAACACAAACAATTGAACGCATGAACAATTGAAGAATTAGGAAAATTGGGGTCGAAATATCTTTTCTATAATTCGAGAAAAGAGTGCGAAAAATTTGTGAAAGCTAGAACATTTCGTCTCTTAAATAAAAAATGAATGAATAAATAATAAGATATAGAAAAAATAAAATAAAATAAAATAAAATAAAATAAAATAAAATAAAATAAAATAAAATAAAATAAAATAAAATAAAATAAAATAAAATAAAATAAAATAAAATAAAATAAAATAAAATAAAATAAAATAAAATAAAATAAAATAAAATAAAATAAAATAAAATAAAATAAAATAAAATAAAATAAAATAAAATAAAATAAAATAAAATAAAATAAAATAAAATAAAATAAAATAAAATAAAATAAAATAAAATAAAATAAAATAAAATAAAATAAAATAAAATAAAATAAAATAAAATAAAATAAAATAAAATAAAATAAAATAAAATAAAATAAAATAAAATAAAATAAAATAAAATAAAATAAAATAAAATAAAATAAAATAAAATAAAATAAAATAAAATAAAATAAAATAAAATAAAATAAAATAAAATAAAATAAAATAAAATAAAATAAAATAAAATAAAATAAAATAAAATAAAATAAAATAAAATAAAATAAAATAAAATAAAATAAAATAAAATAAAATAAAATAAAATAAAATAAAATAAAATAAAATAAAATAAAATAAAATAAAATAAAATAAAATAAAATAAAATAAAATAAAATAAAATAAAATAAAATAAAATAAAATAAAATAAAATAAAATAAAATAAAATAAAATAAAATAAAATAAAATAAAATAAAATAAAATAAAATAAAATAAAATAAAATAAAATAAAATAAAATAAAATAAAATAAAATAAAATAAAATAAAATAAAATAAAATAAAATAAAATAAAATAAAATAAAATAAAATAAAATTAAACAAAATAAAATAAAATAACATAAAAAAAATAAAATAAAATAAAATAATATAAATTAAAATGAAATAAAATGAGTTGAGATGAAATAACATGCATAAATCAAATAGCGCAGCGATAACTTAAGTCTGAAATGTCTGTTCTGTGTGTTTTGACACAACATTTATAGCCGTCTTCATTTTCTCGTCTATCCATTCTACATGTTGTTAATTGCTTTTTTGGTCATTATTTGTTAATACCAGTATGCCATTTAGCGTACCGCTATTTCTATTATTATTATTGACTTTTCTGGTGCTTTGTTATTTTTATGACTAGTCTTTTTCAGCACAGTTGTATATTTCGTAAGTTAATTCTAACAAGTTTTGCTTAAGTGCAATTTTAAGCACGTAAGTAGTCGTGCGTAGTCAATTTTTATGTTTAGGTGTGATTAATATTTTTTTGTTTACCTTTTGCTATTTTAAAAAACTTGCCATACCGCTGTAATACACAAAGAGATACCAATTTACTTACGAACTTGTTTGGGTGTTAAGCGGCTGTGAAAGTACAAAATTTTCTGGCATTTGATGCGTTACTTATGATTATGTTTTAATACCGTATGTATACATATCTTCTTCTTTGTAGCTTGCTTTCTTTATGCTTTTCTCACTGCCACTCAATTCAGGTTGTAATTGCGCATTTGCACCCAACTTAATTGGAATTGCAATTTTATGTTTTTGTTCGTTGTTTTGCCGCATTTCTTTCTGCTTTTATCTACGTATGCATATTTGACGTACTTTTCGCCCTTTGCTATTCTCTTCCGACTTTCAGCATCGATGTGGTTTGGTACCGCAAAACTTTCAATTTCTCCTCATATTAATATTTATTTACTAATGTGTCAGTTTATTTTACTGCTTGAATTTGTTACTGTTGTTGTTGTTGGTAGTTGGTGTTTCTTTAATGGACTCGGTCACGGCTGCTGCGCATTGTCATTTAATTTAATTTGTGAGTACAGAAGGAAAAATTGGCAACCGTAAATGCTTCAGTAAAAATTTAAGTGGAGATTTTTTTAGAAAGTGCAATTAAAAGTATTTAAAAATCTTGTTCTTATTTTTTGAATTCGATGTTAAAGAATAATTTTATTTAAATATAGTTTTCTCTTCTTTGACATTTTATATAAATTTGCTTAATTTATTTTTTATTTTAATTTAAGTTTAATTTTTATGGTGTTTTAAAAGTGTCATTGATTGTATACAATGTCAATGTTTTTATCGCTGGTTTTCTTTTTCCTTTCCAGACAAAATGCTCGATATTTCGTGGACTAGTACTATGCATCTGTTTGAATGTCACCTACGCCAATGTAGTTCGTTTCCCGAGAGAATTGGACAGATACGGCTCGTCGTATTTAATTCCATATATAACACTCTTGTTTCTAGTCGGTTTGCCAATCATTTTATTGGAAATGTCAGTTGGACAATTCTTGGGTCAGAGTGCAGCGCACACATGGACTGCCGCTCCCATATTTAAAGGTATGTATGAGTATGCGTGAATGGAAAGAAAAATGTGATATCTCCAAATGAATTTAAATGTGTGTGAAATAAATATATGGAATTGTGATTCTACAAATTTCAGATGTTATAAAGTGGTGTATGATAAAATATGACAATGAAAGTTATTTAAAATCAATAAATTTAGGTTTCGGGGGAATGAAAAATTATAGTCGATGTGGAGGTGTGTTAATTGAATATTGGTCAAGGTTTCATTCATATATTGATATATGTACATATATAAACATATAATACATATTTCTATCAATTTATCAATTTGTACAAGATTTGAATCACTTCATTCTTGTATGTTTATTACATATAATATAATTGGCGCTTTTATGAAGTAAAATGCAAAAGTTTTCAAGATAAAAAAAAAGAAATTTATGTCTTTATTACATTGCTCTTGCTAACAGTGAAAATGTGTCTGGCAGCGATAATTTCCGTTTGTATATAAGGTTAAGTAAATCTCAGCCTAAAAGTAGACAATATTTTGAAACTGAGTTTAGGTAAAGCCGTTATTTAGTGGCAGAGCTATTAAGCGGATGTTCCATTGCTGTGGTATTTTTAATCTGAATTTTCGGTTATTCTTAAACACATACACAAAAATTTTATGCACATATACATATCTCTGCAAAGAGGAGTGAAGTGGGAATAATAATAATAAATAAAATTATATTAAAATATAATATAATATATTTATATATTTATATATTCATATAAAAAAAGACAAAGAAAAACAGAAAAGTATTTAAATCAAACTATTTAAAGTAATATAATACAATATGAAATAAAATAAACTGATAATAATAAAACATCCAGATAAAATAAAATAATAAAAAGCAAATCAAAATAAAATGAAGTGAAATGAAATGAGAGGAAACGAAAGAAATTTCGCTTATCGTTAAGACCTCATGAAGGGGGACATTCAGCACAAGGTCTATTTCCCTCGGTGAGAAAATAAAATGAAATCAAGAAAGTAAAAAAAAAAATTAAAAAAAATAAAATAAAATAAAATGAAATAAAACAAAAAAAAAGTTACAAATAAATAATATAATAAAATGCAACAAATGAAATGAAATGATATATGAATAAAATAATTAATAATTAAAATGAAATGAAGTTAAATGAAATAAAACATAAAAAATAAATAAAATAAATGAAATGAAATGAAATAAAATAAAATGAAACATAATAAAATACGATAAAATAAGTAAATGCAATGAAATAAACGGAAATGAAATAAAATAAAACGAAACAATAAAAATTAAAATAAAAAAAATGAAATAAAACAAAAATTAATTAAAAAAAAATAAAATACAAAATACAATAAAATATCATAAAATAAAATAAAATGAAATAAAATATAATATCATAAAAAAAAAATAAAATAAAATGAAATGAAACAAAATAAAATATCATAAAATAAAATAAAATGAAATGAAATAAAACATAAAAAATAAATAAAATATATGAAATGAAATAAAATAAAATTAAACTTAATAAAATGAAAAATAATAAAATAAGACAAAGTAAATAAATGATATAAAACAAAAATAAATGAAATGAAATAATTAGAAATGAAATAAAATGTAAGAAAATAAATGAAAATGAAATAAAATAATGTAAAATAAATATAATTTAATTGATGAAATGAAGTAAAATTAAAATGAAAGAAAAATGAAAAAAAATGTAAAATTTAAAAAATTATAATAGTCATAAAAAAATTTCGAACGATTTGTAAAGCTGTAGTTATGAATGAAAAAAATGTACGTAAAACTTTGTACCTTTCCATATATTTAAAGTTATGTATGTTCAAATGTACCCTTCGTATCGTCTGTATCCACCATACCAGCACAGTCTCAGCCACAGCAGCCCCAATAACTAGCTCGTCTCGGCAGCAAAAGCATTCGTTTCGCATTTACAACGAACCTGCACACATACTCAAACACACACCTGTCGCTACAGTTTCCACATTGCATTGACTAGTGCGCATGCAATAGTTACTGGTAGAAAGTGGGCGGCGGTTGCAAGCAGGATACAGCATGCAAGGACCAACAGAGTAGCGACTCAAACCATCCAATTTTCGCTCCAACAACCTGCAGAATACCAACTTTGCATTCCCGATTTTCATTGCTACTGCAGCCGACGATTGCAATTCGCAGATGCCTTTTCCTTACAACCGAGAGTAAATAGGACTTTCATTTGTACAGCATTCGGGCGGTCTGGTGTTCCGCAGTACATAACGGTTGGACACAACCCGTTTCAAAAATTGTGCCACCAAACTAACTAACTAACAAACTAACTAACTAACATACAAACAACTGAGTAACTAAACAAACTGGAATATTGATTACTGAAAAAACTGGCAAATATTGAAATGAATTTAACATATATACATACAGAAATGCAAACTTTCGTCATAACAAAAATGGAAAATGATTTACAGTTCAAAATGACACACAACAAATATATGCAAAAGCGCAAAAATTGAATCTGACTCTTAAGGCAAAATCTCTCATAAACTAAGAAACATACATATGAACATGTGAATAATTTGCGAAAACCTAGAAAAACCAATCAGATTTAATCAGAAGCAAAATGTTAAATATTCTAAAACGAAAGCCAACTATGCAAAAATGCTAAAATGCAAATATGGAAATTCAACTTCAAAAATACCAGGAAAATCATATAAATGAAAAAAACGCTCTAATAAAATTCGCAAAACCGAATCCGTGTGTCCCGTTTGTGTAAAAACGAAAGTCCAGATCCGCTGTCCGTAACTAGTGCGATGTAAAAGCAACAACTAGCTACAACAACCCAATATCCACACACACACACACACATACTACCTACAGCCAAATCAGTGCAATGAAGTTGGCGAGTGGGTGGTTCAGTTGTGAGAGTGTCTTCTTTGGTGTTGTTGTATGCAGAAGAAGCGGCACGACGAGAAGGTACAAAAGCGCCATAGCGGCAGCGGTGTGGATCTGCAAAAATTAAAACCAATAGATGTTTGAGAATAAATTCTAGCAAAATGAAATGAAAAAAACTACAAAAACACCATCAACTAAAATGGCAAAAAGAAAAAATGGAAAACTACGTAACAAAAACACACACACACAAAAAAGCTAAGCTGCACGAACAATGGAAGGCAAATAAATTATAAACAAAATACTTGGTTAACTGCCGGAACACAAACTGGTGATCGCCCTTTTTTTGAAAATAATAAAAACAATAATAATGATATTTTTGATGATCCAATCAGGCCGTCCTTCTACCGTTATTTAACTTATCTTCTTAAGACAAGCTCTACAGCGCCTGAAATTATGCTGGCGTGGTAGCACAAATAAGCTTTGAATCAGGGTTATCGAGTTATCACTTCTACTTATAATTTTGTGATTGTCATCAGAATAGGGGGTATAGATGAGCTGATGAATTCTCGTGTAAACTTTTCTTGGTTGCGGTTCAGTTCTTTCTCTCACAACTGAACGGGTTCTTCTTTTTATGATTAGCCTGTAGCTTTTCATTTCAATTTTTAAAAGCGCTCTCATGATGGACTCTGTTTCTATTTTAATGAATAGGGATATCATGGTGAATGCCATATGTAATGAATTTCGTTTAAAAAATTCGATATCTTTTCATCATCATTTTGTTTACGCAATACTTGTGATTATAAAACACTTTTGATTTTATCTGGTATCCCAACCCTAGGACATGCAGCTACACATGAACTGTAGTCGCTTTAATCAAAGTGTGGTATTGAACGGAATGATAGGGATTCGAGGAATGCGGACGACTCCAAAATTGTTGCTTTCATTACTCTGCTCTGTAATTTTTTTACTGCAATATATTATATTGCGGATAATTATAACGGCTATACCGATTTTCAAATTTAATATGTGTGGCGGAACTCCCGCTTCTGTTAGATAATTGACTGCCGCATCTGCTTCTGATGCATTCACTTAGAATGTTAAACTTAATAATGTGGTTGAGATCGTATACATGGAACTTAATATTTTTATATACAAGTATATAATTTGCTCTATCTACTTATTTGCATATAAATATATATAAATATCAATACGAAAGTCTTGAAGTAAGCCAACCACACCTTTCGGATCTAGGATTATTCACTCTCAAGTTGAATCCACAACAACCGCAGTAAAAATGCGCACGAAATATGCTCATATCCAAATCATATAAATTTTTGTCAATCTGTCTGTGATCGCTTTAAAAGAATAAAAGTATTATTCATATTTTGAGCAAATCGAGCTTTTAAGGGATAAGAGCATTCCGCTAAAGCTTGATTTAGCCAAGCTGGAAAAAGTTAGGAATGCACGATAATGAAAAACGGAATGCTCGTAATCATCATCAAGAACCATATTCCAAGCATTAGTGGTTGTTTACATTTTCGCTTGCAAAGAATTTAGCCCTCAATTCTGTCAACGACTAATTGATCGATTTAATTCTGACAATTAAACCTATAAATAAATTTTTGTTACACATAAAACCGATACATATGCCGTTTCAGTATTCTTTTTTCGATTTAAATTCTGATTCTGACCACAATCTGATTCTGTTGCACCCCTGCTTAATACGTTTTCCGCAAAAAGTCACCGGATTGCGCGTGCTTAAGTGAGGAGCTTCCTGTTAATTGGGTTTTTGTTTTCTAGCATATATGTATGAATGATTTTGCATTCATGCATATATGAAAGAATGCAGTTCTCAAATGATCAGCGAAGTTTTCATTGTTTACAATGGAATTTACCTTCGTAAGGTCAAGATCAAATATCTGACTATCTGAGCTGTTTTGCGTCTTCCCATCCGTGCTCAATTTAGTTGAGTGGTATGCGATTGGCGTCTGTTCAGCGTCAGGTGCCTCATATGGCATTGGGCAAAGACCACGTATTTTGGAAACGAGTCTAGTGCTCAACGTGAATATGTTCAAACAATCTCCCCCACCCGCTTAGAGAGCGAGTAAATCGAATGAGACAGAAGATTCTTTCGAAGAACTTAGTCTTTAGCGTATTTCCCCCATCTAAGGAAAAAGTAAATCGAACTGCAAATAAGTTTTTCGAATAGGTCTCTGGTCCACTTTTCGAATCTTTTAGAGAAAACCAAAGCTTTACAAACAGACACTATATTTTTATAAATAAGATATAATAGGAGTATGCTTGTCCACTTCGTGGTTTCAAAAGTACGGGTTGAATGTTGACAACTGTGAAACTTACCTGCAGAATCAGATATGTTTTGTTTATGAGAATGGATCGCTTAAAAAGCAGACAACGGGTTAAAACTGTTGACCAACCCAAAAATTGAGAAGCAAGTGTGTCCAAATTGTGCGCTTTAATAGGAGAATGTGGTGCACGTAATCGTCCAACTACTCAAGCAATTGGTAAAACTTTAAAGAAATTTAAAGACGTTGGTTCGGTTATAGATATTGTAATTCATGTGCATAATCATTTTGCTCGTTTCCTCTCAAACATCGCTTGGACTTACCCCAAAATCCGCGTAAAGTTCAGCTCACGCAACAACTGAAGCTAAGCAAAAAGCAAAATTTACATCAGCGGCACATTTCTCAATCGAGAAATAGGTAAATAAGCAAAACTGACGCATTAGGGGCTCCAAGCAACCTTTACACCTCATCTTGGCATTGTCGATTGTCCACCGATATTGTGTGATTTGACTCCGCTGATTTTTTTGACGCTAGGCGAAGGACTGGTGTTGGGCATATAAACCTTTAAACCAGCATTCGCCAAGTAATGGCTGAGATAGTGCCCAATAAGTACCAAATAGAGGTCGAAAACTATCTCAAGCGCATCGGTGCTTGCAAAAATTGGTGGCCTTAATTGGTCTAGTGTTTCTCATGTTTTGCGAAACAAAAACAATAAAAACAGAAATTTCACGTAAAAAATTATTTTAAATGCATTTTATTTGCGTTTATTTTCAAAACCGCAAAATGAATAACCCAGTATATATTATCTTTTTGGCAACACTGGTTTAAACAGCTGAATCACGTTTCCTGTTTTGTATACTGTCAAACATCTTCAGTCTGATCTATAATTCAACAATGAATCGTCTTACAAATGAACAATGGTTCCAAATTATTGAATTTTATTATCATAATGCGTGCTATGTTAAGAAACTTCATCGCATGCTTCTTCCGCGCGCTCTTCGAAGCTCACTATTGGCTGAATGGTTCGTTAAAAAGCAGAATTGTCGATTATGGAGTGAATATCAACCAGAAGCATAGCAAGATCTACCGATTCATCAAAAAAAAAGTCAGAGTTTGGTGCGGTACTTGGACCGTACTTCTTCAAAGCTGATACGAATTGTAACGTAACTGTGAATGGTGAGCGCAACCGTGAGATGATATCGAACAAGACTGTGCCACATGCCACACAGCAAGTCCGGTGAAGATTTTATTTCTCGTTCGAGACTGGTCAATTGGCCGCCTAGATTGTGCGATTTAACGCATTTAGAATATTCTTTATAAGGCTATGATAAATCTAATGTCTATACAGAAAGCCCGCTTCAATTAACGTATTGAAGGACAACATTGAAACATTTATTCGTGAGGTACCGGACGAAATGTTGGAAAGAATATAACAAAATTGGACTAAGCGGATCAGCTGTTTGAGGCGCAGTCACGGTCAACTTTTGCATGAAATAATCATAAAAACATTAAATTATATGTACCGTACTATCGATGCAAATAAAGATTTAATGCACTTTTCTGAATTTTATGTGTTTTTTTTTTGAAAAACCTTCTTATAGCTCTTAAAAACTCACCCTGTAGTGATTTACCGTCGAGCTCTTTCTCCAATTTGTAGTGTGTGCCTTGATATTTTCCCAACAAGTGGGGGGACCTACAGTTTATTCTAAGACGCCTCAGAACGGTCGATGTATTTTTATAAGGACCATTGATTTTCATGCAAAAAATGCACTCGGAGGGCTAGACATTCCCTGCCGAAAGGTGCCGTGCAATTAGAATAATAATTTTCCTATCATTTTGGATGTTTGGTCGAATCCCTCCGCTATTGCTGTACGAATATAGAATCCGAAGTTCAATGGGAAATTTGTCCTTTTTAAAAGAAAACTTTGTGGCCGCTTCCGAGTGAAAAATATTATCCCAAAATCTCAATAATGTAAATTATGTTAATTTAATATTTTTCCAAAAAAAAAAAATGTCAAAATCATTGCTAATCGTTTCCTTCCACTTTTTTCTTGTTTCTCCATAGGCGCCTGCATCATCAGCCGTTTCGCATCATGGCTATCGACAATTTGGGTATCACTGCAAGCGGTCTTGGCGGTGGCCTACATTGGCATGTTCATCTTCAATACGCTGCCATTTCGGGAGTGTGTGGGCAATGTGAAGATGATGTTGGTAAGTTATTGTTGTAGATTTATTCGTTTGCATTTATTATTTATTTATTATGGTCGGCATGATGCCGAATCGGTGCTTTTTCTGCCGCTGCCATGTAAAGCAAGCGCACGTTCATTCGTTGATTGTAACCGTGACTAATTGGTTGCGATCAAATTATTTCTGGCTGCAGCAGTGATTAATTGACTGATTTTAGTATATTTATTGGATTTTTATTACAGTTATAAGCGCCCATTTGCGGTTATTATTATTTTTTTTAATTTTTATATAGAATTTTTTATTGGATTTATTTTTAATTCATTTTTCTTGTTTTTTTTCTCAACATTTCGTTCATTTAGAGCGGCTACACGGTGACCGGCAATAGTGGCCAAGAATGTTTGCAGCGCACATTTTTAACACCGTTTTGGGAGAACCCAATGTATTTTGGCATGTTGGCTGTCGGCTTAATTGGCATTTGGATTGTTGTGATGTTGTGGTTAGTATTGTGTGAATTGAAATTGATTTTAAAAAAATGTTTATTAAGAGATCGACAAATTACATCGCTGTTTGTCGAAAGTGTTTGGATTTGTGTTGAATCTGAGTAAATAATAATGCTACTGTAATTATTATAATCGGTGTATTGAACTTAATCTACGTATTTTTAATTCATAAACGTTAGTGATGCTAATTTGATAACTCAGTATCTCTGAAAATTAGTATGAATTGGTTCTCAGGATGTAAATTTAAAATTTCCTACACCGTTTTTTCACCATCAGTGTAATTCCACAAATAGTTTTACTCAAAAAATATTCTGAAGGACAGAGTAGGTGCGACCTACACCTAAAATTATAGAAAGTTAATTTTAATTAAATAAAAAATTGAGCTAAATTTTCCAAATTCGGTCGCCCTTCTGCGGAGAATATCGAACCCTCCAGAGGGCTTTTGACATGAAATAAAGCTCATCATGAAAAAACCATCAGTCGTTCGAAGGCGGTTTAGTATTAATTGTAGGTCCCTTCATTTGCTGGGAAAAACCTCAAAACGCAAAACCACAAGTTGGAGGAGGAGCTCGGCGGAAAATCGCTTCAGCGGTTATTAAGCGCTAATTATATATATAAAAACAACTATAACAATGTTTGAGACTAAAGGTTTTTTATACATGCATACATAAATATGTAAATTTCTATTTCTATAATATTTAGTTTTTGTGGCAAATGTAAGTCGTGCTAGCCACTTCGAACATTTATACGCAGTTTTCTTCAATCCACCTCCGTACGGCTGAGGACACTGGGATTGACATTCACTGCCGAGAGGCAACCGTATTTATAATTTGGTTTTTGATAATTTTGGATAAGGGATTTCAATTAAGCACGTGCCGTTCTTCTGCTAAACAGTTTATGACTCACAGGCTTCCCAGTAGATGTTAGGATATAGCACAGATCTTACCACGCATAGCATCCGAAAGGGTGTATGCTTGCTTTCCTGTAGTGGAAAAGTCGTCCATCGATGTAGGTGGAATAACACGGCCGTCCATATTTCGCAGTTACCTGTTCTTATGGACGTCATTCCTGAATTATATGCTTCCGATATTAGCGTAGGCCGTTAAAGGTTTATTCCCAAGTTTATCTAATATGAGGTTAAAAAGCTGTTTATTTCATAATGATTTAAAGGATCGGGGCATGCCAAAGGCATTCTGAAAACTTTTAGGTCTTAATTAGCAGAAGGCAGGATACGCTATACATTCAGCCGATAAACCTTTGGCTACATTTCACACATCCAGCACCACGGCATATGATCAAATGGTGATCTCTTAAAGTATCCAGATCCCATGGTCTGGCAGTTGCTTTGAGTTCATGTTCATTCATTCAATATCATTTCGGATTTTAGGGATTTTGAAGGATAGATTTGATGATTTTGACATCCTTTTCATTGTTGAGAGTATATTTACATATATCGAAATAAAAGTCCTGATAACCGTTATCAGTTTGGCATGTTACCAAGCTTAGATTGTAGTTTGTAGTCTGTTTACAATTTTTTTAGTTTAATATTAAAATCGTAGGATTTTAGTATTCGTATGTTAATTACAAAAAATTATTTTACTAATCGATCATTTAACTATACTGTTAACTTCATTAAACACTTTCAAATATGCAAAAAATCTCAGATCAAAAAATGAACAGAACCTAATCAATGAGTTTTGTAATTAATCAAACCAATTTTATTACGAAAAAATTACTGATTAATTAAGTGATGTGTTTGATTTACCTATCTATAGTAAAATGTAGGTATGTAAACTAATTCGCGGATTTTTATGATTTTTTTTTATAATTGTTTTTTTTTTTTCTAAATAACATTGCTACCCTGAAGCTTAGTATAAAAAATGTTAAGAAAAATCGTTTTGGAACTTCGACAACGCTATTCGCAGTTGTGAGTTATTCACGCGTTTCCTGTTTGTTGTAATAATTATTAATTTATATAAATTAGGCTTTAATGTGCTGAAAGACAGATAAATAGACAAATAAGTAAATAAGTTTCACAAATGCGAATTTTATTTATATATATATTTTTGAAAATGCGTACGTCAAAATAAGAAAATGGCATTACATACACATCAACACCTTTGATACCTGCGACCAAACATGTCCACACATACATACGGATGTACATGTAAATTTATGTACAAATTTTTATTGATGTGCACATCCGTATAATATTATATTTGAAATTATTTTGGTTATTCCCAGCTAAATAATATTTTCATGTACTTTTTTTTTAGTGAAAGATATTTTGTTAACATTTTTATTCAATAATTTAACAACTATATTTTTTTCTGCTATTTTTAGAAATTATTTAAATTAAGTTTCCACACGAATGCGAGTCGTCCATTGTTTATGTCACTTTTGTAAGATTTTTGTCTTTGTTTTTATTTTTTTGTGCTGAAAGACAAACCATTGTTTTTTTATTTATAAGTTTTTAAATTTTGTTCTCAAAGTTTTTCAAGTCAAACATAGAAACTACGCTCTCACTTGATGTTACCCTAAAAACAAAAAAATTAATTCTGTTTTAATTACAAACTCGTTTGATATCCGTATTTGACATTAGTTTATGTTTTAAGCTGTCGTCAATAATAGCATTTCATTAGTAGCTTTAAATATAATTTATCAACCAAAATGAATTTATTAATTCAAAATTATTTACAAAAAAATATAAAGTTTTTTATGCATGTTCATAACTACAGACATTCAGCCGTTACTAAAAATAGTACTTTTTCTAATATTAACTTTGTAGTTTCATACATATATTTGTTTAGGCCTCCGGGTATTGGGTATTTGCTCATAAATCATCCAATTTCTTAAATTTTCAAACTTGCAAAAATCTTATATTAATTCCGTTCTTATTTCCACTCTTCACACAGCACACACAATGGCCGTTTCCTACGCCGCAGCCTCTTCTTCTTCGGTATACTGGGATTCCTACTGCTCTGCTGCCTAACCGGCTGGGAGGTGCATAACTCTTTCCAGCGTTCCTACTTTCCCGAGCTATGGCCGTTCGACTCATCACTGTTAATGGACTCTAACATCTGGTTCAATGCGCTTATGCAAGTACTTTTCGCCACCAATTGTGGTTTTGGCGCCTTACCTGCCATCACAGGGAAATTTCTCTACAAAGGTGATGCCGTACGCACCTCGATTGTTTATCTCTGCTTCAATCTGCTTGTGAATGCAATTGCTGTTACATTGTTTATGGTACAATTTGATCTCTCCGCCAATAGTGGATCCATGATTGACGAGTTAAAGCCGCTCACAGCCGTTTACGATCGCGTTTTGTATGACCGTCCAAACAATGAACTAATTGCACGCACCATACCCGTACTCATTTATGCGCTGGTCGTGATTTCTGCTGTTGTCGCGCTGACAGTGTCCATCTATACGGTCACACGTTTGGTGCCGCGCCATCCGAATTACGTCATCAGCTTGGTGGCGCTTGTGATGACGATAATTTCATTGGCAGCGCCGAAATTTATCATTGCGCGCATCTTAGATACACGTATCGTCGGTACAATCTTAATTACTGCACTTGTATTTGAATTGATTGCGATCAGTTGGATTTATGGCGTCAAGAATATCTACACTGATTTGGAATTCTCCATCGGACGGCCGATCTTCAAAGGTTGGATGTGGTTGTGGTGCATTTGCCCAGCCATACTTACGGCGCTGCTTGTATGGTGGTGTTCTGATGACGATCAGTATGATCTACTTGCGGAATATGTGCCGCGTTGGGCGCCCATTTTGCTCACCTTGGCGGTGATTTTCATAATAGCTTGCGTGCAAATATTCCGTCAAGTGGAGTACAATTTCTTTGGTATGATCTGTGAGGCGTCGAAGCCGGCGAAAGAGTGGGGTCCTACTGATCCGCTGGCACGTCATGCCTGGAAGCAATGGCGCTCGGTGTGTCAGGATACTGGACGACGGGATTTCACACTGAGACGGCGTGGCACACGCGACTACACGCACTCCATCAAGAAGGGGCAATACTCGAATGCGAGTAAATATGTCAACGGCCACGCCACGCAACAGAACTGGAAGCAGTCGACTACGGGCAACAGTTCACCCAACTACAGTGGCTCCATGTTCGGCGACTCGGCCATTGAGGAGGACATTAGTGTCGATAAGTTTCCGGGCGTGTCACAACAGTTCGTACCCTTTCAGGGTACTGATGGCAAGCCATTTAGATATTCAAATCGTTCACGTGCACAACCCCAACAGCGGACGAGTGCGCAGCAGCAACAACAACAATACAAAGAGTCACACAAACAAACCCATAAACATTACCAACAGCAACAAGAAGATGAAACTTTACCCACACCTCCACCACCACCGCCACCCAGTCATGTGCACGCATCCATGCGTCCGCCCTCCATGCACATCGAGAAGCATCGCGAGATTGTTTATATACGTCGGCTCTCGGAGGATGGTCGACATGCGACACGCATTGAGATCAAACCTTCCAACGAGTCAATCACATATGGCAGTACGAATGCCATCACAGCCAATGGCAGTGGTGGCGGCGGCTCACGCAATCCTATGGGTCGTGCGATTGGAAATGGATCTCACAGCGCTGCTTACGTAAAGCGATCCTCCAGCACGAGCATGGCCGAGCACAATCGCCACTCGGTTGTGAGTGAGGGCGCTGGTGGTATTGCAGGAGGTGGACTCGGCACGAAACTTCCACCACCTTTGGCGAATGGCAGTGCAGATCATATCTGCTGGCGGAAGTTTACGGTGAACCCGCAAGAATACTCGACGGAGTTGTGAGCTGTTAGGCCCGAAAGCAGGCGCAAGTGCCTTTGCGATGAAGCAAATATGAATATTTAATATATAGAAAATATACATACAACAACAAAAGACTTTTTCCGTACCCAAGACAAATTCGTTATAAAAAATATATATGTTTAAATATTTGTAATTAATGTAGTGAAGTATTAGTAGCTAACAAGACAACTAGTAGTTGTAGTTGTAGTTGTAGTAGTGTAATTGATAAAAAGACAGAAAACAAAAAACTCTTAGACAATTCCAAATTGATTTTCAATACTTGTCGCATACTATACATATTTTTTTAATTAAGACAAATAAAATCATACTTAATTATTAATACCTATAAGAAACTTTGTAAATAATTAACTAAAATTTATTTAAGAATTAAAAATTAATGCTACATTGTATAAGCTTTAATTGAAGAATTCATATCTTAAAACGATACTAACGAATTAAATTAAGAAAAAAACAAACTGCGACAAAAACTTATTTTGTTTAAGTACCTAAGACAATGTAAGAAATAAGCTGAGCGAGAAAGCACAATATTTTTTTTTTTTACTAATGCAAGGTAGTCACCACGAACAGAAAAAATCTTATATAAAAAATAAATAAATTTTTTCAACTCCCATGAGAATTTGAAAGCTTTAGCGCGCAAAAGTATGCAACAGAAAAAATAAAGAGTAAACGCATTTGTACAATATAATTTTATTACATAATAGTGCAGCTAAAATTTAAGGTGATGAAAAAAATTGTTGATTCCAAAACTATAGAGTAATGCACGCTTGTAACGCAGCAGAATAAGTTTTTACTAATAATCAAATACTTTTTTTTTTTCAAAGACCATAAGGATACATTTGTATAATATTGAATTTATTATATTATGTTATGCCAATAATTGAATTTATCCTTGTTATGTATGTGCTGCATCAAACAAAGAAATATGCAACGAATAATATTCTATTCCATATAAAAAGTAATAATTCTATTGAGAAGTGAATAAAATGTATAAATAGGAGAATGTGAAACGAACAGATTAACAGCGCTATTAATTCATTTCAAACGGATTTGGTGCAGGTATGTATGTTAAATCAAAAGTTTTAGTGGGGTTTTTCCTGTTTTGAGATCACACCAAAGAATCTAATACCATATTAGTGGTTCGTTGCAAACTTGTTACACTTTTTTCATTTACTAAATAAGTGAATTTATATATTTCCTGTTCTCTTATTTGATCCAAATGCATACACGAATGAACAGCTCGTGAACAAAATGATCATAATTTAGAGCGCTAGAAAGTCGGTTTATTAAATGAAGAACTTAGTTAAGAATAAATAAATGATAATTTTCTGTTTTTCAAACATTCTTTTATTAATGTTAAAGGCAATAACGAATAGAAAAAATTGAGATAAATAAATAAATATACATATATTATTGGATGAGTGTATAAGTTCGTGCCCGATTTCAAGTGCAAACTAAAATTGAAATTTTTTGAAGAAAGCGCATTTATTAATCAATTATGTTTTCGCCATCATGTTCGGNCATCCAGCGGAATCGGGCACGAACTTATGCACTCATCCAATATATAAGCTCAAAAACAGTAGAACGACGCAAAGCTTTGGTTTATTAAAAACCAACAAGCCAAAGGAAAAAATATCAAATGGAAAAATCACTGTATATGTTTATATTAAAAGGCCATAAGAATCTGGCCCTGAAGGATATCGGGTTGATTTTTCTTCAATACTGCATGTTTTAGATCTCCAACTTTTATGTTTAATCAAAACTTGCGGGAACGCTTCATTTCCAGCCCCTATTTTAGAACATCTGCTTGCTCAAACCTAGTCTGCTCAGCGGTGCAATTCAATGTCGAACTGGAAGTTCTGTTGTGGATATTATTTTTAAAAATACAGTTGGGAATTACTCTCAAAGAGAAAAAGTGTACATATCACGAAGCTGAATTTTTCCGAAAATTATCACCAGAAATTATGAAGCTTAATAGATCTTTATGAAGACTTTTCCGGCCCTGTTAGGGCAAATGCGAATGATGTTTATGAAGAAACCGCTAGAGCATAATAAACGAGACCCCACATTTTGTATATAGTGAATCTGTTTATAGTGAATCGAAATTTATTTGTTTTTCAAACTTCTTCAAGCTTATGAGGTTCCCTCAAGTTGAAAGTATATAATCGTGCTCAAATAGCTAGATTATTATTTTTCTTATTTCGTCAGCTAATTTTTAGACTGAAACATATGGAATGAAGAGCAGTCTCAGTTAGATTGTCGAAGGATTTGCATTTGAGAAAATTAAAATTTCCAGAATGGTTACTCGTAGATATAGAGTAAATAAATACCTTCTAGAAAGTGAGTATACTCGTGTTTGTATGACTACTAGCCGACGACTTTGTGCAGACCAAAATCTAAGATATTGTTCCAGAACGCTCCTAGACATAGAATTTTAGAATTTCATAATCTCCGATTTACTTTTACTTTTAGTTGTTGTGAAATTTCTCCCTTTAATCTTGTGCCTTCAAAAGCATTTAACTTTTTCGACAATTTTTGTGTGTAGGAGCGATTTCATGAAAAAGAGGAAAAATCATTGAAATAAACATTAAAAATATGCTAATAAGAATATGTGGAGATCAAAGTCTGTTCGCTAACTCGAAACAAGATTACACAACTGTAGGGTGTGTAAAATGCGGATTAGATTCCAAACGCTTTGCTTAACTTTTCGCCACACACACTGAAATACCAAAAATCTCACACTACTTTGCTCATCTCCGTGTCAACTCTGCTTACTTGGCCACGCATTCTGACCTTTTTTCTTTATTTTCTTATATTTTTGTCTATTCATACGACATATGTACGACTTATGTTCTATCATTTTCAAGGTTGCACAAGTCAAAATCAACCAACCCAAAAATTAAATTAAATTTCGTTTAAAAAAAATAAATAAAAAAAACAATAAGCAAAAAAGATATACGAAATCTTTAAACGCATTTTATTGCTGATCTACGAATCAAGCAATGAACTAGCCACTAGTCAACCTCAGTCCAGCGGACAGTTAGCCAAATAGTCAAATTTCTAGTCACAATCTATATGTGTACGTTATATGGTGTATAAGAAGACACTTTTTTTGTAATTTGAAACACCATCTCAAACGCGATAATACGGGTATAAAGCAGCAGTAGCAACAATAACAACATAACTGAAGAAGATATTTATTAGCTTTAATTTAAATTTTATTAAAATGCTTTAAACTAGTTTATTGCGCGCTTCTACCCAAAAACCAATCAAGTTTGCCTCGAGCGCAGCCAATTAAATAAACTTTTTTTGTGTAACAAAACATCCAAAAATCATAAAATTCACACAAAACATATTAGCCGCAGCAACTAAACAAACAAACATATAAGTATAGTTATTAAAAAAAAACACATTCAAAATTTAGTAGTTATTAAAGCCTTAGACTTAGAAGTTTTGATAAAAAATAGTAAAATAAAATATTGGCATTAAATATAAATATTTATTATAAGCAAGTTTTCCTTTGGATTTAACAAACCAAAAAAAAAAAAAAAAAACAAAACGAAAAGGAATAGCGAATGACAATTAATAGATTAATAGTTTTAGTCACAGCACAAATATTATTTTACACGTGTTAATATAATACAACATGGTAAGGAAAAGAAGAAAAAAATAAATTTTTGTGACGCACATAGCACGCATTTCAAAATGGTGACGTAAATCCCGAAAGCACGATTTTTTCATTGACTTTTCAAGCTGAATACCCAAATAAAGTACATGCAGCAAAATACTTGAATAATGAAACGAGAACGAACTAAAATATAAAAATATATTTATAATCTATTAATCTACCGTTACTAGTTTAAATTCAACTATCATAAAATACATGTATCTGCTTATGAATCACATGCTAAGCAATGGTGTTGATCCGAAGTAAGTAGTAAAGGAAGAAGAAAGCGAACCACCGATCTGATCAGTGCGGCGAGCTGAGTTGACAGAGAGATGCCCGTCTGTCTGTCCATCTATTTAAACGTAAACTATTCGCTCAGTTTTTTAGGATATTTCAACCAATCTTTATTATTTGTTGACTTTATTCGATCAGATGACAATATCATAAGTTCAAAACAATTTATTTGTTCAGATATGAGGTTTCGGGTGAAAAATTTGTCAAAAGTGCCTGAAATTTGACATTGCATATCATTGAAATCGAAAGACTATATCATGCAGCCCAATGTGTTCAGTTATGAAGTTCTGGTTTGAAATAGTCAAAAACTCGGGCTATACAATAAGTTTGATATGCTCTTAGAGGTATACAGACATGGGCATGGCCGTAGACAGCACTTCTTTCTTTAAATTAATTATCCAAATTATTTTTATCTCTTCTGCCAAAATACTTTCCGCCACTACGAAACGTGAATTAATTAACCGCCATTTCGGACATTGCGCGGCTTAGTGTCCTAATTCGGCGATAATTCAACTGAGATATACAGAGGCAATTAATTAAAAATAATTCAGTCAGATAAATGAATTTTATTTGTCTGGAATCTTCTTTTTCCTGCCGTATATCCGCGTCAAAGCAACTGCCATTGGAAAGAAGCCGTTTTTTGGAACGATGGACGTATAATATTGCACAATATTTTCACAGAAATGAATACATAAAAAGGCAGCAAACTTTACACCGAGGACTATGCATATTAAAAAGCAGTTAAAAAACAGTTTTTTATAATAAAATGACGCCTTGGAATTTTTTTCTTGAGAACACCTAAATTCATGGAAATCAGCCAAGAAAACAACCAGATATAATTTTTGTGTAGATCTATGTACTCGTATATACAATATTAAGAACAACGGTTTATTGAACTAAAAAATTGTCTTAAATTCTCCTTTCACTGCCAGATGTATTTATCTTGGACTTCGAAAAAATAACGAAAATATTTATAGTGACTTTCTCTAACGTGAAAATGGTAAATAAGCAGAACAAAATGTAAATATAAAGGCTTCAATAAAAAGCTTAATTATCTCCTTGGCCCTCCATCGATACTGAATGAGATTATAAAAAATATTTTGAATATAATAATCTGGCACTTAAACATGGGACCAATGACATCTATAGTTGTGCGCCTTCGCAAATATTGTACTTTGCCTATTAAGCTACGCAGTTTGAGTTATTTTTTCCAGAATAAGGTTGAAGAAAAAGTCAATAAAACTAGCCTTGTCCGCAACCGTCTTTGACGCCGAATGGTTCGGGGAGGTTCTTTCCGATTCCTCTTGGTGTTACTTAGCCTCAATTTACACAGGCGCGCATACACTTTGGGGGGATGAGTCTAATGACTGTATTTTTCGACTCATTTTAGAGAAAATTTTATAAAGTAGGTATGATTTAAACTATGTATTTCATATAATAAATTTTTAAACAGTTAATTGTTACATACATTTGAATTACACAGCATTTACTTCCAGAACTTTAGTACCGAAATCGTTGAAATCACATTAACGCAAATATACCTCACTAGCACATGTACATTTCATTCAAATGTGTTAATTTTTAATTTTTTTAAAATTAGAGATAATTAGCTACTAAATAAATACAACTATTAGATAGATATTTTAAATTAAGTTAAGAATGCAGAAGGTCGTTGGTTATATGAGCATTTACATATGTATGTATATAGATACATTATAAACATAGGTATGTGCGTGTGTGTTATACGTTAACTGGTATTATAATTAAAACATATTTGATGCAATTTTTTCATCTGCGAAAAATAAAATAAAGTTTTAGTAATAGTTTTGGTGATACACGAAGCCCAGCTACTTCAGGTCACGTAGCATTATTTTGCAAACTGTTATTTCATTGTTGTATTACATATGTATGTGTCTTCTATAAAAATTCAATTGAATTATTTGAAACAGTGAAAGGGTGTAGGAAATTTTGAATTATCCGATATCATTATGTTTCTCTCATAGAAGCCCTTGTTCCTATTGGCGCAATCTATTTCCACAAGCTGCTCTTGAGACTAATTCT